GAGAGCCGAGACCCATGGCTGGGACATCCTAAGCTATATTACATACAGAATTCGGGAGGAAATAAAAACAAGATCTCTGGAAGAAAGCAACCTTAAAAGGGCCGAAATAGTTGAACAACTCTCACATACATACAACGACCCAGGAGAGTTCTGGAGTCGAGTTAAGAGATTGAAAGGTTGCAGCCGTGACGAACCATCATATATAACTGACCCCAGAATGTCCACCTGAAGAATTGTCACCCCAGCCTGCTCCACTTGAAGAAGTGTCACCCCAGCCTTCTCCACCTGGAGAATCGTCACCCCAGCCCACAGTGAATATAATTTGTATAATTAGGATAACATAAATATATTCCTTTACATTATGCATCTTTATTGTGAAAAGTTTAAAGAAAAAAATAAGACAAATATGCACCTAACCTAACCCAACCATGGAGGGTCCTGACCCAACCTGAAGAATTGTCACCCTGCCAAACTCTGGGGGTGACAATTCTTCGGGTGATCCGTAATTTTTTATCGATTATACATAAAATGTAATCCTAATCAACTTTAGTTACTACGTTAAACCTCTAAGTCACAGTCGGTCATTGTCAACCAAGTACTCTACTTTCTTAGTTGTCAACACTTTATAATTACAGCCAGGTTTCAGATTCAGATTTGCCTCACTCGAACCGTCACTACGAAGAGTACCATACCCCTGGCACGGACTGAATAGATTGTGAACCTCAGGGGACACCGCCTCTGACAAGATTAAAGGGGGCGGTGGGGTACGTAAGTAGGATGGGGAGGGTGTGGGAAGCAGTGAACGTGCATATAGTATCAAGTAGGGATGTGATGGTGTAGTCAGTGAGGAAGAGATGGTTGTCAACATGTCATCATCATAACTGACTACTTATCACTGACATCTATCTGAATTGGAAACACGAGGCCTAAAAGGTGAGGTACACTGGTCTTTAGTGTGATTTAGTCTGTCAGTCCTTGGTTTATATTTTCCTCTGTAATGTTTAGTATCTGAGTTATCTGTAAGCTATTGTTGAACCATACAATTTTTTCTTGTTTTTGCTGATATCGCCTTTTAATTCTGAACCCAGTCAGTCATATACAGTACTGGTATAGTTGACATTGACATACAAGACTTATACATTCATATAAGTAGAGAGTCTCAAAAAAAGATTCATATCTTGTGTTAATTTAATGTATCTAATTAGGGTGATCTAAGTGCAAAGTTTCTCCTAACTCGTTTGAGTGAATGTATCTAAGAAAGGTAGAGTTATTCTGTTTTTTTTTTCCGTATAATTCTGATGATCCTTTTTGAACACTACGTTTGCGTAGTTTTCTTAAGTCAGTTAGGTGTATTCGTACACCTTCAGTTCCTGGGAAAATTCATAGTACGATCCATTACCAATATCATTAATCTCCTGTCCAAACAATAATCGACTTTAAGACTTCAGTGAAAGTAAAACCAAGGAAGTTCACTAGCGTCGAACTTAGACGGATGTACCAAGTGTGCCTGTAACTGAACATTGATGTAATACAAGTTATAAAATGATGGCGTCTCTGCTGTTGTCTATTTGGTGTAAAATCTATTATAATTTTCCAAAGACAAAAAGAAAAATACGATACTAAAATACTGTAAACTAAGTAATAAAATGTGTATTTCTACTTATAATAGGATGTTACAATCAGTTTAGTGTTGAGGAAATCTTCTCGGCTAGGAAGAGCAGGCAGCCAAGTGTAACCCCCACCGCCCACAGCACCATCACGCCGCCCATTTTCACCATGTTCAGGGGTTCGGCCGTATCACTCCTCAGATTGGGTAGCACACAGTCAATGCTACCAAAATCGACTAGTTGCGAACTTCTCATCCATACTAGTCTGTGGGAAAGATACATAGAAAGACCGATACACAGTTTTTACACATAGATAAGTGTTGTATGATTGTACCCTCTCCATACAACATTGCTTCATTTATATATATATATATATACATATATATATATATATATATATATATATATATATATATATATATATATATATATATATATATATATATATATATATATATATATATATATTTATATAATCAACGACCTCACCAGCCAGGACTCAAACCCTCTACCTACTGGGTGGGACTGGGGAATGCTACCGACCAACCCACAAGGACACTAAAAGCAGTTCTAGACTCTGTTATATTTCACTCAAAGCCTGTTCATCGAGCTGATGGCTCCGTGAACCTCATTAGCTCGATGAACAGGCTTTGTGTGAAATATAACAGTGTCTAGGACTGCTTTTAGTGTCCTTGTGGGTTGGTCAGTAGCGTTCCCTAGTCCCACCCAGTAGGTCGAGGGTTCGAGTCCTGGCTGGTGAGGTCGTTGATTATATGTTCAAAGTCCGCGTGTTATATGGACTAATAATGAAATATATATATATATATATATATATATATATATATATATATATATATATATATATATATATATATATATATATATATATGAGAGAGAGAGAGACATTTCATAAAATCTTCATATAAGTTCACATTCTTCAGGGTATACTTAGAGTCGACAGTGAATATATATAAAGGATGGCAAAGAATAACAGCGACACTATGGGGTCTTTATAATATATGAATAAACTCGTATGTTTAGATGGCATCTCGAAAATTGTCCTAGTCTCAGACGCTACCTGACCTATCTTGGAGAAGGACGTGCCCCTAAATGCTCGCTTTAGTGACCATAGGAAATGGCCGCCGTGGATTGTTCTGTAGTGGGGGAAGAAGTACGGTGCGTTAGGAAAGACGACCCCATGACCACTCAGTTAAGTCAGCTGAAGCAGTTGAGGAGAGAGATAGACGTTTTAAAGGGGGAGAGCGAAGCCGTCAGGATTGAACTCCTTCAGTCCTGCGAAGGAGGGTCAGGAGGAGCAGGCGTGGAGAGTGGTTGTCTCCAAGGGGACTAGGGTCAGACTCACGAAAGCTATATCTTGCGCTAGTCAGGCCGCACCTCGATTATGCTATTCAGTTCTGGTGCCTTTATTATAGAATGGATATCAATTCACTGGAGTCGGTGCAGCAAAGAATGACGAAAATGATTCCAGGACTTGGAAACCCTCCATATCAAGATAGATTAAAGAAACTAAACTTGCATTCCCTAGAAAGTCGAAGAGTGCGGGAAGATATGATAGAAGTATTTAAGTGGGTGAAAGGAATCAATAAAGGAGATATAGATAAAGTTCTTATAATATCCGAGCAGGATAGGACTCGTAGCAACGGATTTAAGTTGGATAAGTTTAGTTTTTGGAGGGAGATAGGAAGGAAATGGTTTACAAATTGGGTGGTAGACGAGTGGAATAAGCTTAGCAACTTTGTAGTAAGTGCTGGAACGCTGGAAAGTTTAAAAAGGAGGCTAGATAGATTCATGGATGATAGAGAGTGGTAGTAACTCTCGACAGGAGCTGCCATGCACAGTTCAACCGGCCTATTGCAGACTCCTTATCTTCTTATGTTCCTGATCTAACTTTCTGTTTTATCTACACACAATTGCAGGGCCTCAATTGTTTCTCTTACTTTGACAACACAACTTATATTTATCGTTTCTCACTATTGACCTTTTTTTTTTTTTAAATTTGCCTTTGCTTATGGTTCTATATTATTATTTATATTATTATTATTATTATTATTATTATTATTATTATTATTTAATTCGTAATTTATTATTATTATTATTATTATTATTATTATTATTATTATTATTATTATAGATATCTTCGCCTCCCACGCCCTGATGTGGGTCCTTGACCTGTACCCATTGTCTTTCTGCTCATCTAGCCTGTATTTATATGGAGTTTTTTGAGTCTAGATTACTACCCAATATAGTGGACTTTATTCCTCCATGGTATAGATATGTAGATGATGTTCTTTGTCTTTGGCCGAGAAACAGTGACCCATTGGAATTTTTAGACAAGCTTAATGATATTGTCCCAAGTATCACATTCAAAATTGAAAGAGAAATAAATGGATCCCTTCCATTCCTTGACATGCTTATCATGAGAAATGGCCAAAACTATAAATTTAAGGTATATAGAAAGCCCACAAAGGTAGACAGTTTCATTCACTTTTTATCGAATCACCTGGAGTCTACCAAAATGTCAGTTTCTTCTGCTATGTTCTTAAGATGTCTGCGTATTTGTGACTCTGAATTTATTGACGATGAATTGAAACACATTCGTTCTATTGCACAGAAACTCGGGTACCCTTCTGTGTTTGTTGATCGTTGTTTTAAAAGGGCTAAAAAATCCTTTCATTCCTCTCAAACCAGACAAGTTCCTACACTTAAGAATATTTTGACTCTGCCCTATCGTAATGAATTTGTCCCGTTAGTTCGGTCCCTCAAGCTTCTAAATATTAATGTTGTTTTCAAGTATGACTCTACCATTACCAATGTGTTAATAAGGAATAGCCCAAGTTTGAATGTAAATGGAAGTGTTTATGTATTCCATGTAGCAAATGTAATTGTAATTATGTAGGACAAACAGAAAAAACACTGCAGCTCAGAATCAAACAACATAAGTATAGTATCAGAACAGCATCTGAAAGCAGTGCCTTGTTCGTTCATGTTAGGAGTAATAATCACCCCATTGCTTGGGAAAAAAGCTTAGAAGTATTTAAATCATCTTGTGTCACAGAAAGACTTCTGGTTGAAGCTAGTTTGATTAAGGAAATAAAATCAATAAACCTTAGTGATGGTCAGTTCAAAACTGATAATATGTTACATGAATTTATTTGTCAGTGGCCCAAGGTTAAAAATGCTTTGAAAACCTTTGATCTAGATGTATGATAGTTATTTTGTGAGTCCCTTATTTTTGACCTGACCTGACTAGTCACGTCACCCCCCTTCTCTTAAGCTCCTCTACGTGTGCGTTGGTGTGGGGATTAGTGGATGACATCATTATGACCTGACCTCAGGTTTTTAAGGTCACCCTGTATATTTAAGCCTCTCTCTGTCCATGTAGTCCAGTTGCCTCTGAAGATGTCTTGAATAAATACGAAAGCTAAGGTGCTCCGTTGTTTCCATTTTCCCCGTGTGATTTTATCAAGATTTATCTTATCCACGTTTTCATTGTGGATTTACATTATATATATATACAATCAACACCTCAACCCGCCAGGATTCGAACCCACGGCCCACAAGCCTATGATTGTGACCGGGGAACGCTAACCGCTGGACCACCAGGATACTAAAAGCAGTCCTAGACTTTGTTATATTTCACACAAAGCCTGTTCAACGAGCTTATGGCGCCGTGAACCTCTAATGGGGACCACCCGTATCACGTAGGTGGTCAGAGTAACGTTTTACCAAATCCGGCTTCGAAACACGAGGATCCATATATATTTCATTAGCCCAATAAAGCACGCGGACTTCTAGATACGATCAACACCTCAACCCGCCAGGATTCGAACCCACGGCCCACAAGCCTATGACTGTGACTGGGGAACGCTAACCGCTGGATCACCTGGATACTAAAAGCAGTCCTAGACTTTGTTATATTTCACACAAAGCCTGTTCAACGAGCTTATGGCGCCGTGAACCTCTAATGGGGACCACCCGTATCACGTAGGTGGTCAGAGTAACGTTTTACCAAATCTGGCTTCGAAACACGAGGATTCATATATATTTCATTAGCCCAATAAAGCACGCGGACTTCTACATACACTCAACACCTCAACCCGCCAGGATTCGAACCCACGGCCCACAAGCCTATGACTTTGACCGGGGAACGCTAACCGCTGGACCACCAGGATACTAAAAGCAGTCCTAGACTTTGTTATATTTCACACAAAGCCTGTTCAACGAGCTTATGGCGCCGTGAACCTCTAATGGGGACCACCCGTATCACGTAGGTGGTCAGAGTAACGTTTTACCAAATCCGGCTTCGAAACACGAGGATCCATATATATTTCATTAGTCCAATAAAGCACGCGGACTTCTACATACAATCAACACCTCAACCCGCCAGGATTCGAACCCACGGCCCACAAGCCTATGACTGTGACCGGGGAACGCTAACCGCTGGACCACCAGGATACTAAAAGCAGTCCTAGACTTTGTGGTCCCCATTGGTTGAGGTGGTTGGTACTGGTCCGCTAAGTCAGTTAAGATAAGGTCAAGGGTATTTTGACCGTGTGTGGGGAAGGTCACAACTTGTGATAGTGATAGCTGGTTCTGGATATCAGTGGTGTCAATTTCATTATAATCCCCACATAATACTAATTTGGCACATGGGTACCTAACTCTGAGGTGGTCTGTGGTAGTAATGAGATGATTGATAAGAGTGTCTCTGGTGGATGATCGAGGCGGATGGTATGCCACACAGATTATGATGGAAGCAGCGTGGCGCGGGTGGGCCTGTGGCACAACACGTACCCATAATGCTTCCACATCTGCTGGGACTTGAACATCCAGGCATGACGGGCGTAGGTCATCTTGACAGAAGAGGGCAACGCCCCCTCCGCGTCTATGTGAACGAAGGTGATGAAAGAGTTGATATCCCTCAATATGACACGTTTCAGGCACAATTTGCCAAGCCTCACATATGGCAACGACGCTCGCGGCGGCTGACCTGACTGTAGTTGCTAGCTCGTCAAACTTGTTAGCTAGGGAAGTGACGTTGGATAGCAGTAGAGACGGGAGATCATACCATATCCGTGGAACTTCAGTGTAGTGGTACGGTCTGTGTTATATTAGTAAGTTACAGTGATATTAGTAACTAGACAGTGATATTAGTAAGTTAGACAGTAATATTCGTAATTTGACAGTGAAATTAGTAAGTTAAACAGTGATGTTATTAACTTGACAGTGAAATTAGTAAGTTTGCAGATGATACTAAGATAGGCAGGATGTGTAACCGTCAGTCAATCTCCGCTGTTGCTCGCTTTGTTCCATCCCCTCCTCCCTTGCGCTTACCTCTTCCACCCCTCTTCCCCTACTCACCCTCAATACTCATATTGAGTAATACACATACTGAATACCAGCCCACACCCTTCAGCTTTCAGCGGAGGCTGCAGCACCAGCCCACACCCCTCAGCTTGCAGCACCAGCCCACACCCCTCAACCTGCAGAACCTGCAGCAGAGCCTGCAGCGAAGCCTGCAACACCAGCCCACACCCCTCAGCGTTTAGCAGAGCCTGCAGCACCATCCCACACTCCTCAGCGTACAGCAGAGCCTGCAACACCAGCCCACACCCCTCAGTGTATAGCAGAGCCTGCAGCACCAACCCACACCCCTCAACCTGCAGAACCTGTAGCAGAGCCTGCAGCGGAGCCTGCTGCACCAGCCCACAACACTCAGTCGGCAGCAGAGCCTGCAACAACAGCACACATCCCTCAGCCTGCAGCAGAGCCTGCAGCAGCAGCAGCAACACCCCACACCCCTCAGCCTGCAGAAGAGCCTGCATCACCAGCCCACCCCATGACCAACCTCTACCACTCGGTCCTTCACCACTTGCAAGACGCCAATATGACATAGAAGAGCAAAGAAAGAGAGCCATACAAGCAACGCTCTCACAAGCTGAGCGCATGGTAAAGAACCGCCGCATAGACTTGAAGGCAAGGGGAAATAGGATATAACAAATGATCGTGGGCCCTTCATGCCCAGTGGCGAGTCCGGTGGTACAGTTTACCGAGATTGTTACAATCATGGTCGTGGTTGTTATAATCATGGTCGTGGTTGTTATAATCATGGTCGTGGTTGTTATAATCATGGTCGTGGTTATTATAATCATGGTCGTGGTTGTAATAATCATGGTCGTGGTTGTTATAATCATAGTCGTGGTTGTTATAATCATAGTCGTGGTTATTATAATCATGGTCGTGGTTGTTATAATCATGGTCGTGGTTGTTATAATCATGGTTGTTAAAATCATGGTCGTGGTTGATATAATCATGGTCGTGGTTGTTATAATCATGGTTGTGGTTGTTATAATCATGGTCGTGGTTGCTATAATCATGGTTGTGGTTGTTATATTCACGGTCGTGGTTGTTATAATCATGGTCGTGGTTATGATCATAGTCGTGGTTGCTATAATCATGGTCGTGGTTGTTATAATCATGGTCGTGGTTGTTATAATCATGGTCGTAGTTGTTATAATCATGGTTGTAGTTATTATAATCATGGTCGTGGTTGTTATAATCATGGTCTTGGCTTGTTATAATCTTGGTCGTAGTTGTTATAATCATGGTAATGGTTGTCATAACCATGGCCGTGGTTATAATCATGGTCGTGGTTGTTATAATCATGGTCGTGGTTGTTATAATCATGGTCGTGGTTGTTATAATCATGGTCGTGGTTATTTTAATCATGGTCCTGGTTGTTATATACATGGTCGTGGTTGTTATAATCACAGTCGTGGTTGTTATAATCACGGTCGTGGGTGATATGATCATAGTCGTGGTTGTTTTAATCATTGTCGTGGTTGTTATAATCATGGTCGTGGTTGTTAAAATCATAGTCATGGTTGTTATAATCATG